GCATATCTTTTAGCTGTTTTTTGTACTATACAGATTTGCAACAGTGATTGCTGGGTAATGCATATGTTGATATTGTCCAATATCAAGTCGATATTTGATCACATGTGTATTATTACATGGGGATCTCTAGGGATTAACTCTGTTTTGGAGCCAGCCTCAAGTGGCCATTAAAGGAACTGCAGTTTGTAGCACTTCAGTGTTGGCTTAATTTTATAGCGATGGAGGTTCAATTCAATTTTAATTCAGTTCAATTAAATTTTATTTATAAAGCCCAATATCACAAATCACAATTTGCCTCAGAGAGCTTTACAGCATGTGACATCCCTCTGTCTCTGGGCCCTTTGGACACAGCTCTAGAGATACTCAGAATCATAGAAGTCTTGAACATCTACAGTCCCCTGGCAATTGAGGCCGTTCAACTGGGTAATGAGGACCATGTGACCCAGCTGAAAGCTCCAGATCAGTTACCAAATGGATCTTGAGATTTTCTCAGTGATACTCATGGACATAATTGTGGAATTTAGAATATATTCTAAGTAGTTCCAAGGAAAACCATTGACAGTGAGCATCATGGTTTATCCAGACAAATGGTGGCTGCTGTAGCACTGCAGCCTGTAGCAGCAGTGTTGCCACCATAGTCAGTGCTGTGGGTAGGGCATCAGTGCTGGAGGGGACACCAAAACAGCCCAATATGATCATCATCAATCATAATCACACATATTACATGAATTCTCCCAGTTAAGGCCCTCTCAGACGTAACAGGGTTTGAGCTACACTTACTGCTAGTTTAGTGAACACAGTACAGCTGTAGTGTGAGCTCACTGAGCGCTGCACTTGCACTTTTGGGTTATTATTACAGTTAGTAATACAGTCAGTTGCCTCTGCTGAGCAAAGTTTTTAAAATTTTAAGCTCATTAAAACATACATTTTCAACAATGGAATTGGAACATCTGTTGGCTTTTCTGTCATCAGCATTGATGAAGAACTTGCTGAGAAGCTGTCATATAATGAGTTATTTAATGACTTCGCAGCCAGGTAATGCAGATGTGTGTGCCTCTGTAGAGCCTCCTGTAACTGCTGAAAAATGCCTGTTCTATCGTTATACTGTAGTGTAACATATATGCAATACATACATACAATGGCATGCAAAAGTTTGGGCAAAGTTTGGGTCTGGAAGACCATGAAAACTTTCTGAGAGAGTTGCTTGTAGGATTGCTAGAAAGGCAAATCAAAACAGCTGTTGACTGCAGAAGACCTTCAGATATGACCTTCATGCAAAACTCATCAGAAGAAACAGGCCTGATGCTTTTTGGAAACAAGTCCTGTGAACTGATGAAGTTGAAATAGAATATTCTGGACACAATGACCAAAGGCATGTTTGGAGGAAAAAAGCTATAGAATTTCATTAAAAGAACACCTGTCTCACTGATAAACACAGGGGTGGATCGATCATGCTTTGGCAGGGCCGGCCCAAGCCTCCATGGGACCCTAAGCAAAATTTGATATTGGGGCCCTCTATTACTGCCAGTAATACTGATTATTGATCATTCACACACCTACTGTAAGTTATTTCATGTTCTACTCTGTCATCACTTGTGAAACTAGATGTGAGAACTTTTTGTTGTAGTTAGATTGTAATCCACAGTGATTAAGGCCATGGAAGCAGACAACAGATTTGCAAACTTCCTGGAAAATCTTTCAATTAATATTTGGCAAAGTCAGCAACTCCCCCTACTGACCACACAGAGAATCAATACAAAAAAAACCTCAAAGAGCAGCCTGGCATGTTTTACCCTTTTATGGTTTTTAATCTGAAATGGTAGCAAATTCAGCTACAAGAGCAGCCTGGGGTTGATTTACACTTAATATTCAAAGTGTTATAGTACTAAGTGGGATACCAAATGTCATCTAGGCCAACTAAAAGTAACAAAATTAACCAGTCATTTACTGTAAACACAATCTGCTTTATTATTTTTTGTTTTAAATAAACTGCAACACAGAGGGTACAGTGGGCACAGTGGATGGAGCAAAGGATGGAGATGGACCTAAGATGAAAAACAACAACAAAAGCTAGTCATGTTAGATGTCATATTACACATGGAAATAAGTAAAATAGTACAGCTATAGCTTGTAATAAGAAAACAGTCTGCCAGTGGAACAACTGAAAATTGCTTGAAAAGTTTTGAAATAATATCCATTTGTCTAAGACATGTCCCTTTTCATATGATTATGTCTTATATTAAAAATTATTCATCTCAGAATGTTCTGCAGTACACTGAGCAATTACAAAGGTTGTTTTGTTGTTAACTTACCAGGTAGAGCTGAGGTTGCAGCAGACACAGAGGAGACAGTGGGCACAGTGGATGGAGCAGAGGATGGAGATGGACCTAAGATTAAGAACATGTCCCTTATCATATGATTATCTTATATTAGTATATTTTAATGAAATAATTTGACTAGAAATTAAATATTTATGGTGATAGTTTTCATATAACTTATGAGCATATTAGGGAGTTGATGTAAAAGGAAGGGGTCTGCCCATTGGTCCGACAGCCCATTGGTCCAACATCCCATTGTTCCGACCATATTAAACCCATTGTTCCGAAGTCCCATTGTTCCGAAATCATCATGATGCCCTGTGGTTAAGGTCTGGTTAGGTTTAGGCACAAAAAACACTTGATTAGGGTTAGGAAAAGATCATGGTGTGGGTTAAAATGAAAAAGAAAGTGGCAAACACATAAGCCGTGAGCCTGCTTCGCCTCAAGCCTTTCCCAGGTGACCCAGAGCCAGTCGCGGCGCACCATCAAGGCAGAAATACGCCCGCCGGGAGCCATTCAGCACCGCGGAAAGCTCCCCACACAACCCCTGACCTCAGAGTTAATAACAGGAGGTTATGGTGTTTCATTCTCTCCTCTCTATGACACTTGTATCTCGACCAGTAGCCTACTTTTGTTGTGTTGCTGATCCTCTATGGTACACAAATACAGCATAGCCTAGTATAATCACATATCGGAACAATGGGACGTTGGACTAATGAGAGGTCGGAACAATGCTACGGCACCAAAAGCAATATGTTTATTTACTCACATAAATTACTATGCTCTGCAGCAAACAACATATCTCAAACTATAAGTTAACTAAGTTAATTCATTAATGCAAAAACATATTGCTAGCAAATGTCACCGCATCTGTAATTAATGTTAGTTGTTATTAAACATTTGCTATCAAACGTTGTTATCAAAAACGTTGTTTTGATGCCCAAAAGCGACCCAGAATATATACACCGAGAATAAACTTATTCAAAGTATTACACGAACACAAAAACATTAGCCTGAATAGTAAGCTATCAAACCTACCAGTTACAAGAGAAATTTTTCTAGTTTTGAATTAACGTTAGCTAGCTAATTTGCTATTATAGACTAACGTAGTTGGAACAAAATATCAACAATTAGGGACTTTCCTAATTTGAGGAAACTTTTCAAAATCTCCTTGACACCAAACGTTACATTACCAAGACATGCAAACATACCTTTATCTTGTCGTTTTTTCTCCTCTTCCTCTTTCTTCCTTTTCTTTCTTCTGCCGCTGAAGGGTATGTCCTTTGTTGCGACATTATTAGGCCTTCCACCTGCTCCTACCTCCTAGCACAGCTGGATGCTCATCTTACTAACATTAGTGGAGCTCTGACATTTAGAGCAGAGAGGCAGTGGGAAACTACACTCTGTTAACATAATATTGTCTTTTTGTACAACAATGTACATTTGATAATATATGAATCATCATCACTCACACATGGAAAAAAATAATAAATGTTTTCTTTTTTCCTTTTTGCTGTTGGGGGCCCCCTAGTGGTCACGGGGCCCTAAGCAGGTGCTTAGTTCGCTTATGCCTTGGGCCGGCTCTGTGCTTTGGGTTTGTGTTGCAGCCCCATAAGAGTAGCACATGCAAGATGGCCAAGAATCTCACAGAGCTAGAAACCTTTTGCAATGTAGAATGGGTAAAAACCCCCCAAACAAGAACTGAAAGACTCTTAGCTAGTTACAAAAAGTGTTTATACACTAAGTTGTGATACTCGAAGGGGGGTGCTACTAAGTGCTGACTATGTAGGGTGCCCAAACTTTTGCCTCAGGCCCTTTTCATTTTTTGTTATTTTGAGGCTGTAAATGATTGAAATTAAAAAGTAATCTTGCTTAAAATATTGAAGAAATGTGTCATCTTTAACCTTTTGCCTTTTTGAAATCAGGTCATCTTTAATTGGCTCAGCTATTCACAGTAAACCAAATTTTGACCAGGGGTGGTTATTGAATTATTGTGTAGACCACAGCACAGTTATAAATTGTAGACCTTCTTGGTTTCTATGTTGGAACGTTGAGTATTATTATTTTTTTTTTTCAAATCAATTTTATTATTTAATGGTTTTATATAAGACATCCTTGTAAACAGCATATCATGTCATACAAATAGAAAAAAATGATTGTGATCTTCCTCATGTTCCTAACTAAGAGCCAGTGGGAGTCAATAAACTGAATTTATCACACTGTAGCCTATGTGCTTTCTTTCTCGGGTGTTGACAAAAAAAAGTCTGGCACACTCAGCACTCACACTGACCATGACTTTCTGCCTCTTTTTTCCCTTTTCCGTCTCAAGAGGGTCCCTGCCTTCTACTTAAAGGCTTCAGAATCCTATTCCAGTCAATTCACAGTTTGATGTGTCTCTCTCCCTGTCCCCTTCTCCGGAGGCGGTTACCAGGGAAGTGGGCGCGGCGTCGTAGTCAGGCAGTGACGTCATCGGGAGCTGTTCAAAGTGGTGTGGTGCTGAAGAGACAACTCTCCTCTCCTTTCCGCTCAGTCAGACAGCCAGTCGCTCGCTCGCTCTCTCGGTTGGTCCTGCAGCCATCAGCTGGTCCGTGGACGCTGGATTTCACCGCCGGAAAGATCCATTATTGGCGCTCAGCACCCACACAAGACCAAAAAAGAACAATTTGGACCGTAGCACCGTCTCCGTATCACCTGAAGCCCATGTGGAAGAGATTTCCAACAAGTAAGTCGCCTCTTTTCTCTCTATTTCTCTGTGTTATGTGTCGGAAAGCATCGGGGGTGATAGACTGCACCTTTACTGGGTTATAAACGCGAATAAGTCATAAGTTAGATCATTTGGCTCTTGGTTATGTAATAGTAGGCTGGAGATCCATCCCTGATTGTCCATGTAATTGTCAGCCCGTGTGCATGTCCACTGAGGCAAGTCTTCCAGCCGCGCCTACATCTTACCCTGTGCCTGCCTGGGGTAAAACATTTGACTCAGATTTGCATGATCCAATGGTCAGAGATGCTTTCTCTTCCTCCCCCCCTCTCTCTCGCACATACGCACACGAATGGAAAGCAACTCATTGCCACTGAATAACCCCCCCCCCCCCCCTCCCCTTTCCACAGACACACAGGTTACACAGGGATGTTTCACTGAACACCACTAATTTATACTATAACTGTGTGAACCAAAATTAATTTATTAAATTCTGTGGTGTCTAGTCATTCAGTTGTGATGTTTCCTGGCCCACTGCCTACATGTAATGGCTTTATGGTTTTACTGGTTTACAGCAGGAGACATACAGGGACTGGTTAGCTAGTGGTCAGGCTGCTATTGTGTATATAGCTGATATGGCATCACAGCTGGTGGGAGAAAGTACAGGAGCCAGGGAATCTGTCAAGAGGTGTTGCTTTTTATGAATCCAGAGTACATTTAGGTGTGGCCCGGCTGGGCTCTCCTCTCCTCTCCTCTCCTCCGCTCCTCTCCTCTCCTCTCTCATTGCTTATTTCTTGTTTCATCCACTATTCTCCTCACTTTTCTTTTCTCCCTCCTATCCTATCCTCCTATCCTGTCCTCTCCAGTCCCTTTCTTGTCTTAGTTTCATTGTCTTGGCCAATGTAGTGAAAAGGAGTCAAGGAGGTGCTGCAAAACGGTCTCTTTCCTTTATCTACACATACCTAAAGACATATACAGACATCGTTAGACACAATGTTATTGTCTCTTCAGTTTTGCTTATCCAAGCAATAACCAATAACCAAATGATGTGTTTTAAAATACTTTTTTTCCATCCACTTTCCTAATTTTTCACCAAAAAGTGTAAAAATGTACAAATGTTCTTATTTTCTTGTATTTAAGACATCAGAAGGCATAGTCCAGCTATTCAGTATGTAGTTCTATAAGGTTTGGGACTCTAATTAACAATACTATAATGGTCAAAATCAAAGCAGCACAGGCTGAGATATTCTGACTTTTATGGGTCAGACTCCTATATTGCAACTTAATTGCACCTTTCATAAGACCCTCTTTGCCTCCCAGTTTATAATGAAAATTATTTGTTACAAATTTAAAATCAAATAACCCTGATGACATCACTGTGACATCAGCAGGGTTATATTTTTTAACTTTGGAAAACTCCCTTCAAAGCCACAAAAGACATTACGCATCTGTTTTTACAGTCCATCTTATGGTAAGTAAATTGAGCTTTGTCTGTAAAATCAGTTAAGTGCCCTTACAGTGTCAAAGATGTACAAATTGTCTTATTTTCTTGTACATCAGATAAAACTAACTTACTTACTTTTGTTTCCTGGTGTTTGAAAACCACCTCCACCAACTACAGTGGTATGACTATACAAAGCCAACGTTTTAAAATGACAGAATTTCAACATGATTTGGTTGTAACGCTCCTGGTTCTTGTTGGTAAGACATTATGGTTGTGTTTCCAGGCTGAAAAAGGTGTTTGTTATGCTCAACATTATGTAAAAGTCTTTTTGAACTTTTTGAACTTTTTGTTTAGCTTCCACAACATGCATACAGGCCTTCTGTGTGCTTGCAGGGTGCAGCCTTAGCTCTCTGTGTTTCCTGAAGTGAACACATCTTGACATTTTAGCACACAGGCAGATATGTGAAAGGTGACATTGCTGACATCATGACAGGGCTGCAAAAGTGGGATACATTTAGGGTGTTCATGGAGCATCTAAATATAGATGCATGAAGAGAGCAGTTTAACTCAGTTTTTTGTGTATCTATACTTAGTTTAATTCTTCTCCCTGTGGAGTTAGATCTGGGCCTGTAGTCTTAACTTGTCTCACATTTCTGTGCCATAAACACCATGTTTGCCTTTGATTCTGTCAGTTATTTAGACAGTTCTCGGCTTTAGACCACGACCCAATACAATATGTCGACATCTTTGAACATTATCTTTAGCCTAACCTTTCGACTCTGCCTTGCATGCCAGAGACCAGGACACAACCTAATTTTAGTTTTGGCTAAATGTTATTAAAATTGTTTGAGATTTTTTTTAAAAATTGCTTTGATTTGTTTTATTCTAACAACATGCACATCTCTGCTACAAATTAACAGTTGTTTTTTGTTTGTTTTTTCCAGAACTTACCTTTCCTCTACAACGCACCAAGGAGTGTCAGAAGTGAAATGTTAAATCGTACCCCATGGGTTGGGTTAATTGTAACAGGCAGAGAGTTAGTTGTAATGCTTACTGGAAAAGTCTGTTTATGGATCTATCTATGACAAATATCCAAACACCTATCCATCTCTCATATAACCACCAGTGCTTTATGAATGGAAAGATCAACACATAGACGAAGGCATCAACACATAGACAGATACATAATATATGTCAATATTATATAATTTTCTCTTTTCAGCTGTCACAGATTGATAGACAGATGTATGTAGATACCTATTTGTTCATCTACATCAGGGGAAGGATAAGTATCCATACAGATATTCATCTGTTAGTCTATCATCCATATTCAATGGTTGGACCGATTGATGTACATCGAATTGGTAACCTAGATCCACATGTCAAAATTTGAGTACTGAATGTATGAATATTGACAACACTGTGAAACTGTGTCAATAAGATACCTGACAAATTAAAAATACAAAGTATATCTCATTTAATTAAGGACATTAGTTCAAACTGAACATAAGTGTGACATGCAAATACTGCGTTACTACTAACCCCGCTGTATAGAAATTTTATCAAGCCTAGCTAAGACCTGCTGGGAGTTGGTTACATAGTTCGAAATGGTGCTATGTTTTAGGCAACAAGACAGTTATTAAGATGATATATGGTTAGATTCTGTGACTTACATACACAGCTCAGTAATCAAAAAATGTTGGCCAAAAAGACTCTTTGTCACTGAACTCCGCTAAAACACGTCCAGTTTCTGCAGAATGTGACCGGTCACTGTTTGGAGGTATTGCTGTCAATTGGCCAGAAGCACGAAAGGATTGACTCGTAACCACTCAAAAAGTCTGTGTTACAGTTTACCCCACGTTAGGAGGTTTCACATGCTCCCCTACACCGATGTGAGCATTTATACTTGTGTGGTGGTGTGTCTGTGTCACTCTGCAGTTACATCTCCAGCAAGCTAGTTGGCGGTGGGGTTTCTGTGAGGGGCTGTAAACTTTGATTGTGAGTTTTTCTCTACTTGTGTGAAGCCAGGATAAATCGCACAGGACTTAAAATGCTGTGGTTTGAGAGTTACTGTCTTCACAATTTATTGTTTCTTATCTGTGAAGTTACAGGAAATAGAGGCTTTGTTTTCACTGAGGGTAATGATTTTCAATTTACAAAAATAAACAGGAGGTCTTCGTCACATCAACATGCAGTTACATTTCTAGGGAGGTGTATCTAAGGTGCTGTAGGTACGGCATCAATTCAGCACAGAGGTATAATCTGGCTAAACCCTTTGACAACGCTAGCAGAGACCAGAAAAAGCAGTTCATTGCTTCACACTTAAGTGAGTTGAATAGCAGGATTGTTGCATTAGCTCCACCTACCCTCTCTGGCTGACCAACCACTGCTGGGTGATGGAAAACATGTCACTACCTGTGGTCTGCTTGTGATTTTTCCCTGGAATGTCATCATTGACACCCAGTCTGTAGTACTGCAAATACAAGAGCTTTCATCAGCGGGCCACAGGCTCAGTCACTGTTACGTTACTGCATTTGGTAATAGATGCAGACTCAACAGACATTTTATAAATGAAAATCTTCAAGATTATTATTTTAATGTTTGAGTGTGTTTTTTGAAGCGTGAGTTTTAGATCTGTAATTTCTCAAATAAAGGGGTTTAGAGCTTTGATGCTCAATATCTTAGAACAACCCTGAAGGCAGATGAACGGTTTAATTGGAGCTCAGAAAATGTCAGTTATTCCAACCCTGTATGGGTCCCTGTGTGTACAGCAGACTGGGTTTCTGTTCATGACAGTGCAGGCAGGTGGTTGAGTGGAGCTGGCAGGTCAATAGAGAGAAGGGTTGGGGGTTTGGTGGGATTCTCCAACAGACCTTGGAGTTCAGTGACACCTGATAGCACATGATCTGGTTTCTCTGCCTATGTGCAGGTGGAGAGACATCAGTAATGCTTGTTAGTGATACTCAGCTGTGTACTGTGCTGAAAAAGAAAGACTAGCTGTGGCTAAGACAATAATAAATGCTCAAGTTAACGTTTAAGGTAAGGTAAGGTAAGGTAACTTTATTTGTACCCGAAGGTAGATTTGGTTCACAGTTTAAGTGATGATTTGGCTTCATCCTCACAAAACAGACAAACAGGTCAGACACAGTAACATAGTAACAATAAAAAGGTAAAGTGTCATCAGTGCGTCAATTCAAAGTGCAGGATTAAAAAGGGCATGTAAAACCATTATAAAACCCAAAATATGAATTTAAAAACAATACCAAAGAAATAAAAAAAAACAAAAAAAAACTGTACAGTCATTAATTCAGTTTTTTTTTCCTTTTCAGATTGGTTTGGAATGAGTTTTGTTTAACTCTCTAATGGCTGATGGGACAAAGCTGTCTTTATATCGCTTTGTTTTGCAGGCTGGGAGTTTGTATCTGCGGCCTGATGGGAGGGGCTGAAGTTCCCCATGTAGTGGGTGAGAGCCATCTTGCAGGATGGAACCAGCCATACTCTGTAACTGCCTGGTATATAAGGATTCTGGGTTAAGCTGAGGTTCTCCTATCAGCCTACTGGACCATCTGACTATTTG